TCAAGGATGAGGAAGTGAATTGGTTTCGCCCCTCCTCGATTCACGACAATTGACAACCCAAGTCATTTCTCTCCGATGGGAAAAGTGTTTTTCCCTTAACCTATAAATTGTTTGTACATTATGCAAAACTCGACCAACCCCCGGAAAAAGGGTAAAGCCAGAGGGGTTACCACCATCATTTTTCTAACATCCCATTGTTCTCGCCCGACGTCCTTTCGCCGACCGATTTTACTGTTTGTTTCTATGCTAGAGTTGACTGCTTTATAGAGTGAAATTGATTTCTTGACATTGTTTGTACATATGTTGATGTTTTCTGACATTTTCCTCTATTGTCCTCATTTGTATGATTTTCCTAAGTCTTTGGATTGATTTTACTTATTGAATATCAATTTGTGACTGAGAAAATTCTTGTGGAAAGTGATGGACATGGACAGCTGGTTGAGCCATAAAACATGACTGATCTCTTGATCTATCGAAAGTTCAACTGATATTTTTGGGGTTCCTGACAGAAGCGCACTCAAAATATCCTTGGCTCTCGAAATAATTAAATTCCTCTGCAAATCTTCCATTTTTGCAATTTTATCGTAAAATTTCACGCTTTTTGATGGATAAAATAAACAAATCAATTGACAGTAGAGAGCGAAACAGGAAGCAAAATTGTCGCTAGTGTCGACAAAGAAGAATAACTTCTAAGTGTGTACAGCGCCAGATCAATCACGAATTATCGCTGATCTGATCTTTACACACTCCAAGCTCATCCACGGAGGGTTTAATCCCAGTTTGAGCCGATTCGAGGGTAAACCGCAAGTCTGTAATCGCTCTTAGAGGCTCTACACATATTCGTAACGCGGCATAGAAATGTCAACAAGAGGGATGAAAGTTCTACAAACCGATCAACTCTGTCCGTCGTCCGCCGTCGACGTCGGCAGGACGCATTAAAATTCTGTGTGTGACCACTCCGTTGAATGAACCCCGGTGTCTGTGTCTCCTCGGCGTGCAGCAAATACATAAGGCAATGGCAAATGCGACCGAAGCTCTCGAGTAGTGGGAAAGATTACATGCTGAGGCGATGGTGTGAGCGCAAGGGGGTGGAAAAAAAGGGCGAAATCCATGTGACAGGAGACAGAATGAGCAGAGTTCTTACGACAAATTACCCACAACTCGATTTCATATTGCTCTTGCGTTTTTCACCGTACACTTTCACCGCGCCAGTCAAGGAGGGAAATGAAGGGCAGAAGGTCGCCTTTTATGGATGTCTTTGACTTGATTTACTCCTTGGCGAAGAGTGTTCAATTAAATTTCCTCGCTGGTTGCTTCTCGGAAAGAATTCAGTGCCTTGGGAGTGTCTAGCTATCGTCTAAATTGCGGGGGGGTGGAATGAGGGATGTTTCATGATTTGGAGGGTGTGTCTAAACATAGCAAAATTTAGAGACGTAAACACGACAACAAAGTATCGTTAAAATACACATGACCTTTCAGGATCATTTTCCTTCCATGTCCTTTCACATCTTGCCCAGTTCTTTGTGTATCTCTTCTCGCTCTCTCCTGGAAAAGTCTCCCTTTTCATGGCACAGAATGGCGAAACCGTAAAAGTTCCCAGCTGGGGAGAGTTTTAAGCTTATTCCCCTACATTTTCTTTTGTTGGTGATTAGTAAACTTTCCGATAAACTTTCTGTTCTCTCCCACCATTCCGCCCACAAATGGGACGTTCTCTCTTGTTTCACTCTGAATGGCGATTCTATATCGGATATGCGAATTATGATGAAAAGACCATCGAATTGAAAATGTCAGAGAGTAATTTTAGCCAGTGATTCTAATTAATTTGAAAGAATTTCAAATGTAATTTGCCTCCGTTCTTCTTCTGTCAAAATCCCACACAATAATGAGTTTTTTAATTAAATTCTTAGTGAGAGAGAGAGTTGGAAATTGGATTACTTTCCGCTTAATGCACTTATTGAATTTGGTTTTTTGTGCTATTGGTTGGATTTCGACGAGTGAAAAATCTAATTAGACTCTTTTTGCCAGTTACTCAATTTTACAGACTTTCATTCGCCTGTGGAAATCTCAGATATCAGAACAGACTGAAGTTAATGCAAGTGGTTTTGAGAATGATTCAATGCTTTTTTTCTTTTCATGGAATGCAGAAGAGTGACGAAAGGAAAATAGGGCATGAATGATACTTTATGTAATGTCTTAAGATGGTCCTCCAGGAGGAATTGCATTCCTAATGCAGGAGCTTCAGCAAAAGGAGCCACAATTCAGGGCAAGCATACCTTTTATGTATGTGTAATACAGCATGGGAATGGCGAGAGGAATTCAAATTGATGCCAGAGGTATAATTTGCATAAGGTCACGTCATTGGAATTTGTAATCCGGCTATCATAGTTCGGGGGACGCCTTGTGGGAAAGCGATCAGGTAGTGTGAATAAATCACATTACAGGAAATCCTCCATGCTGGAAAATGGCACAAATATGATGCATCGATTCGCTTCTCTGGCTGCAAAAGTTTCCTTTTTTTCGATTGATGAATTTTCTACGTGAAACGCTGAGCGGGAAAAAGTAATGGTTTGGTTAATTGGAATTTGTGGTGATTTTCATTTGTAATCATCAAGTGACATTCTTGCGGAAATGCCTTCTCACACCGCCACTTCCGTCTGATTTCTTAGCGCACAACATTCGAGTAAATCCCTTGACTACAAGGCAAGAGAACCACACATTTTCCACGACACCACACAATGAGGGAGCGCCTTCTTTCTCGCTGCTAATTGATGGCTTTGTCATGGTTCGGATTTCCTTCACCCACAAACAGGACTTAATTGCTGGCCAGGGGATTAGAACTTTCCCATGGAGGATTCCTTTTTTGGCAGCTGCATTGCATACAAACTTTACAATTGTCTTCCTTACGAGCAAGCGAGGAAAAGCTTATAAATTCACATGTAATTTAGTTGAACAAACGACATCTTCCGCCCACATTCTTCGGGGTGGAAAGTTTGTGAGAAATTGGCCAGAGGCGCACAAGTCTCACACAATTCACACTGGATTGTCGGGCAAAATCTTGCTCTGCTGCACCCGATAAACTTCCGGCCGGAGACACACTCTCACGAGGCCACATTTTCCAGAATTTCCCAAGTGGCTCATAACTGGCCAAGTGCAATGCAAATTGCTGTTATAATTCAAATGATTGCTAAAGCACAGATCGTGTATCGTGGAAATTGTGCGAGGAGAATTTCAATTGGAAGGATTTGGCTTGCATGAGGCAAATCTCAAGTCACATTCCCCTCATTGTGCCTCAACAGAACGTACAATCATCCGGAGAATTCTAATGCTGTAACTGCGAATAAAGTGGCCATTACTCATACCAGCCATTCTCCGTTCGAGTCATTTATCTATCTCGATTTAAGGATATTCACAGAAGGATTTCTAAACTACATGCAGTGTTACTGATTATTTTATCTAAATGTTCACGTTGAAAAATGGATATTTAAGCTGTGACAAATATGAGATCTTTCAGTCAAGTTTCGTATATTTAGAAATTTGTATTTTATTTTTAAAAATAGGTAAAAATTCTCTTTTCCAAATAACTTGGGTAAAAAATATTATTTCTTTTCAGAATTTCCCTCAAATATTCTCAGAGTTTAAATTAATAGATTATTTGTGATATTTTTGATTTCTTTTACTTGAAAATTTTGAAAAAAAGATTTTCCCTATTTATTTTTTTCATATTTTAGTCAAAAATTCCAATAAATACCAATAAAATCAATTGGAAGGTGTTTTAAGGTAAATTTCGCGGCAATATCAACGCGGAAATTTCAATTTTCTTGTCCTGAAAAAGGACGATTTTGACTTTGATGGAAGCATTTTGATCAATTCTCGATCGAGTTATCAAATCCAAAACCGCACTGATCTCAATTGGCTTCCTAAACTTGTCAAATTACTTTCTTTCTTATAAGGAATTTCCAATATGGCTTTCAAGAGCGCATTTCTGCAGTGAATGTGCAAATATTCTTTCTCAAGTTCAGAGGAATTTCCGCGCTGTTCAACTGTTTGTGATGCTGAAGGAGCAAGGAGAGACGGCAGAGAGAGATATTTGAGGTGGAAGTGAGACAAGAAATCAATAAAATTCATCATTGCCCCTCCGCAGGAGTGTCTTAAGGGACTCTGGGCGATGTATAAGAAGTTCAATTGGATTCAAGGAGCGAATTCAAGTGAGGGTGAATCGAAATGTTGAGGAGTATCTTGGAATTCGATCGGAGAAATTTACTCCGCCAGGATGCTGTCCTCGTAAGACACACAGTAAAAAGGATCAAATTTAATCCTAGTCAGACGTGTAGCTTTTATGATGTGTCTACATGGAGAATGCTGTGTCGTTTATGTTTGGAAGGCTCTCTCTCTGTGCCCGCCTTGGGAATTACAGGACGGCTTGAGTGACTTCGGTGGTGGGCAAGAAAAAGGGTTGGCGCTGAGGGTGGAAGGAACGAAAAAAGTGACTGAAGAGCGAGAAGAATGTCAAATGATTGAGCAGAAAGTGTCGGAAAAAGAGCACACAAAATGTAGTCCTGGGAAAGCACTTAAAATTTAAATCAAGAACTTTTCCACTTCATCTCCTTAATATCCTTTCTCGCATTTCCCCCCACCACACGTCACCATTAACTCCTTCCTTCGCAGTATTTTCAACACTTAAACTATACATTTCTGCCATTCCGCGCCCCTAACGCGCAACTTTTCGGTCACACAATAGGAGAAATCCTCCTAACGAGTCGATTTTCACCGGCATATAGAGAAAAATCTCACTCTGGTGGGGCATTATTACAATGAGACTATTTCCCTTCAATGCACATTTCAACCTCCCCCAGAATTGAGACAAACCATTTGTGGGGTGTGGAGAGGGTGGTCTTTTGTCACCACTTCGTGCGGTGAAAATTGCAGGAAAGCCTTCAGAATACAGCCTTTTCCACTTCACTCAATGTGATTCGCAAGGTTTTTTGGCGGGGATTTTCCGATAAGATGAAATTATTGATTTATTTAAAGATGCTTAAATTGAGAAATTACAGAGAGATTGTTTGATTTCATCGTCTGCAATTGCAAACAGCTCGCGAATTGCACCATCCGCCTCGGTAACCGTGTCCTGATGAAGAAACTCAAGTTAGAAACGATCCTTCCTTCTGTAGAAGGAGTTTTCTTACCAATACAGTGAACAGCACAAGCGGCGTGGCCGACTCCAAAGGCACTGAGAAGATCGCAAGTTGCTCTCTTCTGGCGAGTGTGAGTCTGAGGCACATCGAACAGGACATCTATGGAGCCTTCATCCACAAGATCCTCATAAGGAATGCGTGCGAAGCTTGGCGGATAAGCACTGACGACGCTAAGAACAGCAACCACAGCAAAAGCGATCACGAGAGCGCGCATTTTGAGATCTTGGTGGATTTCTTGAGATCACTTGAAGTGCACTTAACAAGAGACAAGCTCGGACTGAATGGCGATTGAGGCTCTCCGTTGGATTTAAATACTAATCTCGCGGGTGTGGAAGATGATAAAGACAACCAGCGAAGGCGGTGAATCCCAAGAAACGCGCGCAAAACAACGCGACGAAAAATGTATTGGGAACGAGGGGATTTCCAAAGAATTGTTGAAGAAATTACTAATTACTTATTCTCTCCACGATGCTGATAAGGGGATTTTCTCTCGCGGGAGCAATTCCAATTGAATATCTCATTTGGGTGCGTGATTCATTTCTTTAAAGCGAACAGATCAATTAAATGTTTTTCAATTGACTCGCTTGAAGCATACATTTAGGCTATAAAAATCAATATTACTTTCAATATGATGCATGTTTTTGTTTATTTCTTCAACTCCAGAGCGTCTGGTGAGTTGATAGTTTGCGGAGAATTTCAAGAAAAATCCCCGAGACGCGATATTTCACTTCGCTTTGCTCTCAATTTTCTCAGCTATCGCAGCCAATGACCTTTATTATCAACATCTTCAAGTGTTTTTGCTGTGTTTAGCAATTTTCCCAAGAATTTTGATACAATTTTTTGTGACCGAGTCGATTCTGATTATAGTTTTTTCCATATAAAGTAGCGAATATTGATTAATTTTGAGGCAATTTTCCTTTTAATGCTAAAAATTCAATATTTTCTTCAAATTTAGAGACATTTACATTAAGACAAGATTTGATCAAAATTTTATGATCTTTCTAATGACGTTGAGATCATGGGGATATCTTAATTTGGGGCCGAGATATTGCAAAATACAGAGAGATTTGTGTATAAAATCTGTGAAAATTAAGATAAGACACTGCATATTTTGCTCTAAATCCATATTATTATCATAAAACTGACTGGGATAACCACAATAAATCATAAGTTTAGAATGTCTAGAAGATATTTACATCACAGAACGCCCTGATTTGGACTTATCAACTTGCTTATTGTATGTTTTCAGATACAGTTTAACGCTTTTGCACCATTTCTTCCGTACAATTGCGGCTCAAATCTTGTTCTTTAGAAGCATTAGGTGTCTTAAACTAATTTTTGCTACTGTATAAACTAGAGATATTTTCAAGAGTGCCAGAGTTTGGAAAATACACATTAATTTGACGACCTTAGCGGGTTATTTGGCGTGTTGTTGGGAATCTCGACAGCTTGCAAATGAACACCTCTATATATGATCTTCTCAGCTTTCCAACCTCAGCAGAACAACATTTTATCTTCTGTACGTGTAAGCTAAAATCGCTCTTGAGGGAAACTGTCAAGGAGCGTGTTCTCCATTGAGTGTTGGGAAAGTTTACCCTCTATTATTCCAGAGATTCTCCCACTTTCCCTTGCAATTCCTGGGGTCGAATGCATCTCTCCAGTTGACTGAGATATTTAATTCCCAGTGCCCGACTTTGTTGCAATCTTGGGTGTCGCTTGGCGTGCAATCTTGCCCATCTCCCCTTATTTATCGTATCAATGGCTTTTGATTATTTGCCAGACAAGTCAACTGACTGGAGCGGTTCAGTGTCATCTGCAGGTCCGATTGCCAGGGAGGTGCAGTCAGCAATTGCATCACATTGTCACTGGGGTGGGCAAGTGGGTGGGCAGAAAGACGGCAAGTTGGGGCACTTCCGGGGGTGAACTATGATGGTGTGTATTTTGCCGCAATAAAATGACGACCCGACTTCCCTCGTAATAATGATATTGACTTCAGCGTCATCAATCTTGTCGTTTCACTCCACCCCCAAAGAGCGATATAACCTCTTGCGTGGCTTGGAAAATGTAAATTTTTGGGAATATTCCGACGCACAGTGACGAATGATGATGGAAAAATTGAGGTGGAATGAAGGGTGGCGCTTTTTCCCTGCCTTTTAATTCCCAACTCTGGAAAATCGCAGACCGAATGCCCCGAATTGATGCAAAAGCCGCCTGACCCCCGAATTTGTGTGCGTATCAGACACTAACCCCAATTATGAGGGTGCTGAGAATTTAATGAGGGTTATTGCGGTGCCTCCCTCATCCATCTCATTTCCGAAATATTTGTCTACAATTTATATTGTACGGCAAGGGGTGGCTTATATTGGGGATGCAGTGTCACTTGGCTTGAGATGCACCAAAAACCAAATTTCCTTATTCTTTGTCAATCTTCGGCTCACTTCCAGTTGCAGTGATTTTGCGGTGGTTCCCGAAAAAGACACAAATATTTTACTTCGCATTACATTAGCATTTATTTAAAATATTTTTTAAAGGGTGGAGGGTGAATTTCTCGGTTGAAAAGCTTGAAAATACCAATGAATAGACTACATTGCCTAAATACTTAATATTTAATCGGATATTTCGGGTTTTACGCAAGTTTCTTTTATGATAAAAACGTGCGTGGATCTGGGAAATCTTCCTAAATCTTTTTCACATACGAAAATCTTTAAATATTCTTAAGAAAATGTGTTGGTTTTACACTTACAAAATACATTTTTTAGACAAAATCTTCTCCTTATTTTTGTATTTGACACAGATTTAAATTTTTCAACATTGGAAAATTCTTTTTCGTGATCTTCAAGCCTCTATTAAATGATCTCCAAATACAAAATATTCATCTTAATGCTTTAATATCTTCAGAGTTAAAACTTTGTAACCTTTTAAATATTTTCCACCCTTTCTTAAAATTTTGCACAGAGTTTCTGAATTTTGCGAAGACGCAAAAGATGCTGTGGCATTGAAAATCTATATTAGCAACCCCTTTTTGTAAGGGCATTTTGTACCTTCATGGTGGTCTTCATGGTGCCTTTTTTCTCTCTTCCTCTGGTGGTTTTCCCGCTGGTGGGAAAGTGTACACGTCAATGTTTGAATTTATGGTCCTCCAAAACACGCTGCGTCGATCGGAATTGAATTTATTATTGAAGAGAAATGCACAGGATTTCTCAATAGCGAAAGCAATTTTCGTAAAACATTGACATTTGAAAAATTTATTTGATATTTGCTCTACTTCACCCAGAATTTTCTCTGTATATTGATTGAAATGTGGATGAAATGTATGCTCAATTGATTGAAAGTCCAGTTTGATGATATAGAAATTTGTCTTCCAATCACTTGTTGCAGTTTGGAAAATGACCTGATTTCCCAACAGCAACATTTTCTTCGACTCTGTCACATAAATTTATCTCTCTTCCGAGAGAGTTTCGCATCTTCAAAACAAAATCGATGATATACGCAATATATTTGCCAGCATAACATCAAGAGTAACATATGCCCTCAAGCATCCTAACTATATACATTACGCACATATATATATTTGTCTCTCTGATCGACCTGCTCGCGAAGAAAAAAAAACACCCACTAAAAAGTAAGCATTCGGTGATTGGTGATGTGAAATGCTTCTAACTTTCGAATCAAACTCAACCAATATTTGCGTAGAAAAATGAAAATGTGGTGGAATTTGTGCCAACATTTTTCCCATGCATAAATTTCCCTTTCCGCTCGCGTCAAAAGCTCGCGCGCACGAGTATTTCTGCACCCGTTGCCGAAATTTATTCCCTCAACACACATATATTTTTTACGCTTTTCCCTCTTTCTTTTTTCCATCACCATCGGCTAATGTGGTCAATGATTTCCGCTAAAGGGGATTATAACTCATCAATTGTGTGCGCCAAGAGGGCGAGTCGCAATTGTGGGATTTCGTGGGAAAAGCGGCGAGAAGAAAAGCCATAATCCTCGAACGAAATTTAGATGAAGGAGGATTTAGCATAATTCAGGATAAACAATATTAAATTAGAGCTTCAATGCTACGGAAGGGAATAAATTTGTGTGTTTCGGTGAGCTTTTGGTGGAGTTTTGTGGGGAATGAAGAGTTAACATAGGGAATTAATTGGGGACAAAAAGCATTGAAAATGTGTGAGAATGGGAAAAAAATCCTCGCTCGCAGTTATTGTTTTCCATGATGGTGGAAAGGACAAAGGGGGAAAGCCTTTCGACATTCGCACATCGAAGTGAAATGGTTTCAGATGCAATTTGCGATACAAACCTTTCGTTTGCGCGGAGAATCGCGGGGAATTGGCCTGAAGCCCTCTGGAAGAGATGATTTGATTGCGATGATAGTAAAAAAGGATCTGCCAATCAAATTGCGGTGTTGACACAACTCTGTGGGTTTCCACTTTTCCGGCGGGTCTTTTGTAAGCCATCCCCGCAAACTGCCTTAAGAGGAGTGTCTCCAACACCAATATTGGCAGTGATATGAAATTCAATTACTGAAACTGCACGTTTCATCGTTCACCGTGTGTTTGTGGTGTTGATCTCGACAAATAAAATATTGTATTGATTTCACTCTTGTGTTTGTTTTTACTCTCAACGGACAAACCAATACGCAGCGAAAGCTCAGTGATGTTGTTGTGCCTCCCAAACCACCGGAAGGGACCCTCGATCCCCGGCAAACAAGCGTCAAGGGGCACATTTTGGGTGAATTCTACTGAATCAATATTTTAATTTCCATAATTTCTCCCCATCGAATACGCCTCGAAAGGCTGGGAAGCGATGAAATGGAGCCGAGCCGGAGTGTAAAATATTCCATCACGACACTGCGGAGTCACAATTACCGGCGAATGCAAACAGGAAGAAACTCTCCTTCCACGCCTTCAAAGTCCCTGGATAAATTAATTCATGAATCACAAAATTGTCCGTTGGCAGTTTAAATTTGTAGATTATTTTCCTCAACCCTGCGCAGGAATTCCAAAAGCGATGGTTTGTGTACGTGCGAAAGGAAATTCTAGCTCAGACACTGTCGCTTAGGAAAATCAAATGTCCTGGATGAAAGGATATTTTCCGAACGGAGTTCCTCTATTGCTCTCCAGAGGTCTGTTCAGTATGAGATTTTCCAAAGTTTTCCCGTTCCTTTTACGCTACTTTCTTGGGTAATTTCCTCATTTGATTTCATATGTTTTATATTCGATATCTTACGAATGAATCCCAATAATCGATAAGGATTAATTCCGACACCGAACGCACG